TTAGCTGTAAATTTTTAGGTTTGCTGTTGAATTAATACAGTTATCCAATATTGGACAGAGTATAAGCCCTGCAAGACATAAAATTGGATGAGTTTTTAACCCTTAAAAAAGATCTCCATTTCATTTTAGAATAGATTGTTCCTTGCAGAAAGACTCATTGTTTTTGCTACTAACACTGAGATGTTGGCATTCTTAAAACACAAAGGATTGTTTTGCTCAAAAAACAGGTACCAAGTAGATGCTCCGCTCTCTTGTGTTCCCCTTTCAACCAGCTGTGTCCAATCCATGGCTAGAGGTTGAGCGAGCAAACATGCATTTATTTTTTGATTTTATTTCTGTTTTATGTGTATGAGTATATTGCCCACATGTGTGTGAGTGCACCCATCTTGCAATGCCTGCAGAGGCCAGAAGAGGGTGTCAGATCCCCTGGAACAGAAGCTCCAGACAGCTCTTAGTTGCCTTGTGGGTGCTGGGAACTGAACCCAGGTCCTCTGCAAGAGCTGCCAGTGCCCTTAACCACTGTGGCATCTCTCCAGCCCCAAACATAGATTTATTTTGGGTAATGTTGAGACAAGACTTTATCATCTACAAAGTTCACATTCAAGAACAATGTAATAAAGTTTTTAAAAACTATCATGTTTTAAGTAGGTTATGATTTGGAGTTGGCTGTAACCAAAGCTATTCTCAATCACCTGCAGCCCACAGACTAGGTTGGACAGCTGTTTAAACCATGTTCAGTCCGTTCGATGTTACAGTATAGTTTAAAAGGTCACCTGAAGCCAGGCTTAGGAGCACACATACCTTTATAGTGCCAGGTACTCAGGAGGCAGAGGCAGAAGGATCACATGAACCCAAGAATTCAAGCCCAGCTCGGGTAAATACAGTGAGACCCTCCCCATCTCTCTTTAATGGCACTGAACCTCCATCTGTTCGGAAAGATGAATCGCAATAATGTTATGACATTTGTAAACCCATGTTGACCCCCAGTGGTGTTTGCCAACAGCAATTGCTTTTTCAAAGGTGTGGGCTACAGCCTCAGATGTGAAGCCACAGCCACCAACAGACTTTGTTTGGGAAGAGCAGAGCAGATTCCGGTAGAGTCTAGACTGCACAACCATCCTGTGCAAACCCAACGGCGAGGTACGTATCTGGTTCTCAACAACAGTTATGGGGCTGCCAGCCCCCCTCTGTGTCTCATCCATCAGCCCTCTTGGCTAGTGTTCTCTTCTGAAAACCTTGGCCATCTGGACACCACGACTCCAGCTAGACCAATAGCACTCCCTCAGTGTGCTTGCCACTGGTCAGCAGGAATTGTCATGTCCTGTGTTTCTGAAAGTTACTGCAGATCTCAGAATTAAGGGCAGATTTTGTGTTTTATTCTTTGGGGGTTTGAGGAAATGGTCTCCCTCTAGCCCCAGCTTACCTGGAACTCACTATGTAGGCCAGGCTGCCCTCTATCTCATAGAGATACGCTTCCCTCCATTTCCTGAGTGCTAGGATTAAAGGCGTGCACCACTGTGCATGGCTCACATTTTATTTCTGAAGCTATCTGGAAGCAAAGGGTAAGGAAAGCCCTGCACACAGCCTTCTCTGGTCACCTGTGCATCCCAAAATATTTGCTGAGATTCTTACCTAATCTTTAGGCTGAACTAAGCACTGGGAATTTAAAACAAAGACTTGATTTCCCCTCTTGGGGTCCCATGCTCTACTGAAAGGTGTACAGTCTTAATCTGAAATGACTGTCTTATTCACAATAAAATTAAATACATTAGAAATGGCTTTCCATAATTCTCCCTAGTATTTTTATGTTTTCCTTGATATGATACTAGCATAAATATATACCTAAGAATGTACCAGTTGGGTTTTAAATGTATATGACCATGTACTACTTGTTTTTTGAAGCTGTTCTCTAGAATTTTCTTAAATTCTTATCTTTTGTTCTTATCCCTAGATTAATTTACTGTGTCACAGAACTACTAACCCCGTAATCTGTTGACTAGAGTCTGTGTTTCTCTTTTATACAGATGTGTGGGATGACTCTTCTGTAAAACAGGCTAGGATATTTTTTGAGAGAGAGAGAGAGAGAGAGAGAGAGAGAGAGGTGTGTGTGTGTGTGTGTGTGTGTGTGTGTGTGTGTGTGTGTGTGTGTGTGACATGTGCAGGTGCCTGCAAAGATCCCTGGAGCAGGACTTACAGGTTATTGTGAGCAGCTTGATATAAGTCCTGGGAACTGAACTCGTGTCCTCTGGAAGAATGGCAGGCAGGCTTACCTGCTTGGCCATCTCCCTAGCCTAGTGGCTGGGATAACTTATTAAGAGCTATTTGATGCCTTTCTCGGACCATCTCTGTCATTTGGAAGGGAGGACCTTCCTTGCATGTAATCGAGTAGCCTGCCCTCAGCTTTCCATGTCTTTATTGAGTCAACCTGAATTTTATAAGACTTCTGATAATTTTCACTGGCTGGAAAAATAAGTAATCTGAGTTACTTAGTTTCCTGAGACATCATCAGAAAAACTCAGATGAGGACTGTGAAGTTGGGACGGTAAAATGTCCTCCATCCCTGCAGGCTCAACTTGTGAACACCCATCTCCCAGCTGGTGGTGCTGTTCTGGGAAGTTGTGAGCCTTTATGAGGTGGAGTCCCACTGGAGGAGCGGGGTCACTGGGGCTGGGTTCTTGGGGCACACGGTGGCTGGCTCCTCCCTGTCATGTCTCCTAGGCATACTTGCTGCCACCATGGAACCACTCCATCATGTGTTCCCTTCTGTAATGGACTAAAATCCCCTGAAACCATGAGGCACAATAAATCCTTCCTTACTGATGTTAATGCCTGTCATATAACTGTCCCTTCAAGCCACATGGTCTTGTTTCTGCCTCCCACTTTACATATTGGAACCGCCTAAGTTAGGTTCACAGTTTCAGAGGATTAAGTCCAAATGTTGTTTCGCCCTATGCATGTGGCCAAAAAAGTCATGGCAGCAGAATCCTCTAACAAGAGAACTGCTTGCATCAAGGGGAACAGGAAGCAGAGAGAACTTTCCTATTCCCTCCAGCCAGGTAGCACTTGTGAAAGTTTCAACAGCCTCTCAAATAACACCATCAAATGGTGACCAAGTGCTCAAAGCACATGTCTGTATAATATTTCAGACTCAAACCATACAATCTATTAAATGCTACCTATTAAAACCCCATCTCAAACTTCCCACCCACCACCAACCCTAGAAAATATTTCTGTTAAGCAAGATGAAAAGAGACATCAGCTTAAAACACATAGTTCTTAAAAAAAAAAAAAAAAGAGTTCACCTCCATTCCCACCTCAGTTAGACTAGACCACACACTCTGAAATTGCAAAAAAGACGTTCCTTGAAAATCCCATTCCTCTTGACATGCTGGGTGAAACTGACAGACCCAAGGTTTCAGCAGGACCCAGGAGATGTGTGTCCATGTGTGTGTAAAAGACAGTGCACATCTTGGGGAGAAATGATGGCCAGCCCTTCTCTTCCCAACACAGCAAAACAATCAACAACACCCTCCCCAGATCTCAAGTAATACTTCTGTTCTACATAAGAGCAAAGCACACGTTACATTACAGATCTTTTTCAAAAGAAACTGAAATACAAAGAATGACTTAGACCACCCTTGAACTGTCTTGTTCCTGACATCATGCCAGTTGATAGCCAACAGCTGCAGGTGTTTGTGGTGAGATATAAAGGGATTAAGGGCTTGGCCTGCGTCAGTTCTGTAGGTAACCGTCGTCATAATTCCTCCCTGGTAAAATGGGAGATTGTACATTATAATCGCTAAGAAGCTGTGGGTCTGTGGACTTTGAAACAGGACGAGATGCTGTCCGTCACGCTGGCGCATAGGATTCGTGCCTTCAGCTTACACATTTGCAATGCCTGGCTGTGTCCCCGTCCCTTATTTTCCATTTAAGACCTAGATATGGAACAGAGCCCTCCTGCGTAGCAGGAGCTTGTGGAAGGGCTGTTTTAAAGAAATTCATGGCAGAATTAACATATGGTCCAAAAGTCTGTCTTTGGGGAATATACCCAAGGGAGATGTATAGGAGAAATAAGTCTAGAGATTGAATGTGGAGTGTGAGAACTTTAATGACGTAAATGGCATTGAATATGGGATTTTCTAAAGTCAATTTTACTTGTTCTTGTCACAGAAAAAGTAACTGTGTGAAATGATATTTCTTCATCATGATTTTATATATATATATATATGTATGTGTATATATATATAAAACCATATATGTTGGAAATATTAAAAACATACCTTTTTTTTGAGACAGGGTCTTCCCTATGGCCCTGGCTGGCCTGGAACTCACTATGTAGACCAGGCTGGCCTGGAACTCCCAGAGATCCACCTCCTCTGCATAAGCCAGGTGTGGTGGCTCATACCTTTAATCTTAGCACTCTAGAGGCTGAAGCAAGAGATCACCATAAGTTAGTTCAAGACAGTGAGCAACACAGTGAGTTCCAGACCCGTCTGGACTTCAGAGTGAGAGCCTGTCTCAAAAAACCAAAATAAGACTCAAACAAAAATAAATGCATTATATTGCAATAAGCCTATGACAGACATACAACTTGGGAGGTATTTTATACTGGGAATCCTTTTCATGTCCTTAGGCTATCGCCTGGTATATTCCTGGAACAAGCTTGAGAGAAGTTAGAGACTGACACTGAATTCGAGAGATGTTCAGTCGCCGTCCCATCACTGCGAAGCCATATGTTTTGGTGGATGACATCTGTGACTTCCATAAGTAAAGAAGGACAAGGTCTGCTGAAGAAAGAGTCCCCTAAGTGTCAGCCAGAAGTGGTCCAGCCTTGGCTCACAAAGTAAAGGAGGCTTTGTTTTGCTTGGTGGTTGAGGATACCCCCCCGCCCTCAGTAACTGAGCGTGTGGGAATGACTGGGTGGCAGGTGCATGACACATAATCAGTAACCATGGCTCCCATGCAAAAAGCATGTGCCATAGATCAGCAGATCTGAGCCTACAGGCTGTGCTGGCATCCGTGATACGGGATCATGAGATCCTCTGGGCTCCTTCACTTTTCCTTAGCGCTGTTTGAGGCAAGGCTGTTTCAGAGATAAAGAGGTGACATTTGCCACATCCTTAGCAGTGTTTGGTGACAACAGAAGCATACTAGGAATTTTTTATCCTCCAGCTAGCTGGGGACAGGCATGCAGAATTAAGCTCATTTGTAGGCAAATGCTTCTGCTATGATAAATGCTGGCCTGGTTTGTTATTCAGTTGCTATGATAAGACACTGACCAAAATCAAGCTGTGGGAGGAAAGGGTTTATTTCATCTTACAGTCATAGTCTATCATCAAGAGAAGCCAGGGCAGGAGCTCAAGGCAGGAGACCAGGGAGGAATGTGCTCACTGGCCATCTCCCTCAGGCCCGCTCAGCTACATTTCTTATACAACCCAGGACAACCAGCCTAAGGATGGCACCACCCACAGTGGGCTGGACCTTCCCTCCCACATCAGTTAGCAAAGAAGACAGTGCTGACAGACGTGGCCCCAGGCCAGTCTGGTGTCAGAAGTTCCTCGTGAGGTTCCTCCTTCCCAGGTATGTCTAGGTTTGGGTCAAGTTGACAACGAACTATGGAAATGCTCTGCCTGAAAGGTCTAGTAAAGCTGTTCTCTGTTGGTTTTTGAAACAGGCTTTCTACTTAACTGTACCTTGAATACTAATGCCACCACATAAAATGCCTTTAGGCTTCAAGTTGGCCTTTTTCTTGTTACAGGGAAATGGAAATCCCGCCAACCATTTTCTCCAACTCCAGCCCTTGGTGTCGCAGTCCCTACACCCCTCCACATCCACATCCTTTCTGTTCTCTGATTGAACCGTACTACTCAGACGTTTCCAAGAGCAGCTTGAGGCCACGGCTCAAGTCTCAACCAACCAATCCTGACGCAGCCACAGGTAAGCCAAAAGCAGACATGGGTATTCTAGAAGAGATTAAGGAATGGTGTGAGTTTGTGTGTGTGTGTGTGTGTGTGTGTGTGTGTGTGTACATGCACACACATGCTAAGTATTTAAAACTACTCACATCCACAGCAGGTCTGTGACAGCTCTTTACCCTGTGACAAGAACCTGAGGGAAACACTTGAAGGAGGAGATGCTTTGCCTCATGGTTTCTGTGGCTTTCTATCTCGTGGGAGCAACTCTATACATGGAAGAATGGGTGGTGGAGGAAAACTGTTCATCTCGAGGCAGCCAGGAGGCAGAATGGAGCAGTGTCAGGAAGTGGCCAGGGTAAGATGCAGCCATAAGGCCCCTCCAGTGACCCAGTGACTGGCCTCTTTCATTCAGACCCCCGCTGTATACAGTTCCACCATCTCCCATAGTCTATTCAGATTTTTTAATCCATCAGTGGATTCATTCATTAATGAAGACAGACCCCTCCTGATCCAGTCACATCCCAAAAATCTCACCTCTGAACACTGCTTGTACTGGGAACTAAGCCTTCAATACATGAAGCCTTTAGGGGACCCTTCATCTAAGCCATAACAAAGGCTATTAGAGCACATATTATAAATTATTCCCTTATGATTGCCCTAGCATAGTAACCAACATAGTTCTTGATAAAAATGTCTGCTACTGAATCAATGATTTAAAAAAAAAACTACATGACCAGAAATAATATATGTGATTCTTTTTGGTTTCATGTTTGGGGAGGTATATGTGTTTATTTTGATAAAGGATTCCAGAATGGAGTGAAATTCGCTGTGTACCCCAGACTGACTGAACTCACAGCAACTCCTCTACCTCAGCCGCCCATTGTAATTCTTGAATCTCGGTGAAAAATATGTTTTGCTCTTTTATCAGGCATGAAAACCTGGTCATACAAGTTACACTGTGGCAAAATATCTCACATCCAAACACACTCCAGTAGGAGTGCGTCATGATTCATATTTGAGACTTTGAAGACATACATCAACTTATGGTTTTCTCCAATGAATGATATCCTCAATCATTAATTATTCAAAGAAATTTAGTTTCAACTTTCCTGAAGCATTTTTCTGCTATGATAGCAACTCAACTTCATTATTCAGTAATGCTTTTGCAAGTCACAAAGTATTTCACTTCCTACGTATGTTCTGTAATGATAATCCCCAGAAAATAGATGCCCCCGTGCCTTTAGGGTCTCTCTCATACAACCTTAAGTTTTTCTATGCATGAAATTCTCAGTATAGAAAGATAAATATACTTCAGAATTGTCAGAACTTTGCTTTGATTTCTGATGCAGAGATGGTCACCGACAGACATGTTGTGCATGATTGGTTGATGACTGGAAAAAGAAATCTCTGAACCACCTGCTTACTTCCTTGAAGGAATGTGCAACAGAATTCTTCAAAGGAAAGTTACACAGCTTGTTCACTATTCCGTGTCTTATAATTTATCTGCTGTTGAATGACTGGCTAACTGTAGCACACAATAACTGGCAAAGAGAAAAACAGAAACAAAAATGTATTAGTTGCTCTTCCAGGCTCTTCACTCCTGTCCTTTATCCTACTGTAGTAAATAGCATTTGTTGGGTTGCAGAAGAAAAAGTTTAGGTAGAAAGAATTGTTATTTTGCTTGTAGCTGCCTCTGAAATCTGCTATTCAGGAGCCTAGGGACTAAAGAACAAGGTGATTTAAAGAAACATCTACATGTCCTGTGCCTAATTTATACCAAGCATATTGTTGGAAAACATATTGAAATATGTAATGGCCTGGAGAGATAGCTCAGTGGTTAAGAGCACTGGCTGCTCCTACAGAGGACCCGGATTCGGTTCCCAGCACCCACATGGAAGCTAACAACCGTCTGTAGCTCCAGTTCCAATGAATCCTCTCAGGAAACACCCTCACAGACCTACCCAAAGGGTCTGCTGTATTAATGCCATAGATATTTCTTAATTCACTTAATTTGACAATGTTTGCATGACTCACTGTTATTTTCTGTATGTTTGAAATTTTTCTTAAGGTTTCAAAATGTGTGTGTGTGTGTGTGTGTGTGTGTGTGTGTGCGCGCGCGCGCGCGCGCGTGCGTGCGTGCCTGCTAAGGCCAGAAGAGGCCATTGGATCCTGAAGCTGGAGCTACAGGTGGTTGTGAGGCTGCCAGATGTGGGTGCACGGAAACAAAATTAGGTCCTGAGAAAGTAGCACATCCTCTTACCTACTGAGCCATCTCTCCAGCCCCGAGCGAGATGTTGTGTTCAGAATGTCAGTTCATGTTCCATTGTGCAGAATGTTGGTTGACACATGGCTGTGTTAACTGTAGCAGAGATGGGAAAACCAGGCTTAGTCGTGGTGGCCTGGTGTCTGGGTTTCTCTGGGTCTCTGGTCTTTTAGCGTAAAAGAATAATGTTTTATAGCAGCAATTAGCCATTTCTGCCACAAGATATTCCTGGAAATCACTGAGACAAACTGTATTCTGATCAGTTCTCAACACATCCTAATGAAACACATCATCTTACTGGTAAGACCATTTTTCTCCTACACAAGTTTTATGTCATGCATATTCATGCTGGTCCGTGGATGCGTTTTTATGGATTCTTTATCCATCCTTGCCAGAGCACAACGATCAGTGCTCATTGCTGAATTCATTCCTTCCTTCCTGTCCTTTTTTGTTGTCAAACTAAAAAAGCAATAACAATTTGAAAGTGTGAAATGGGCAGGAGAGGCGTTCTTGGTGGAACGTGGTGTGTGCCTGGAGCTTGCTTAGCACAGAGGCCTGATGCTGGGTGCAGCACTGAGGAATCCTGGGAATGATGGGTGAGGCAACTCACAAGCAGGTGTGTTTGCACTGGTCGGCGGGGCTGCTTCCTGGTGAGTGCAGTGCTTGCTTCTTGCCCAGGTTAACTTGAAGCCTGTAGGCAACTTTGTCAGCCCTTCTGCAATTCGCTTAATGGCAAAAACTAGTCTGAAGATAGTATGTGACTAGTGTGAAGATAGTATGTGACTAGTGTGAAGATAGAGTGTGATTTCAATGTGAAATAGCCTCATAGGCTCAGACGTTTGAACATTTGGTCCCCTGATGGTGGCAGTATTTTGGAAAGTTGGTGGAACCTTAAGTATGTAGAACCTCTGGAGGAAGGAGGACCACTGGGGGCAGACCCTGAGACATTGATAGCCTGGCCTCCCTTCCTGTCTGCTTCTGCTTCCTAACTGCTGAGGTAGGAATGGCACAGTGTGACTAGCCACCTCACACCACTGCCACCATGCCTTCGCCACCATTGTAGGCTGTATCCCCTCAAACTGTGAGCCAAAATAAACCCTTCCACCTGAAATTGCTCCTTGTCGGGTATTTGATCTCATTAACTAACAGGAAGAGCAGTTGGTAGAGCTCATTGTTGGCCGTGGTTCACTTGCACACTGTTTAGTGCACCACCTCATCATCCACCATCCATATCGCATTCTTCGGTGGGGTTCATTTTAATTGTGCATTTTGTAGCTGCTACTGTCTTCAGTGTAGATGTTATTGTGGTGATAATCATTTATTGTTCCCGAGGGTGGCAGAAGCCACTCGATGAAAGGCGATTGTTAGAAAGTAACTGAAACTAGAGCATGGAAAGCCCAAGGCAGCGATGTGATGCCTAAAAGCTCATCAGTGTAAGGTCTAGTCCAAGATCAGCCCCCGGAACTTTACTTAAGCTAGACTCTGGGCCGCCTGGCACTCAGTATAGTCCACTAGATCAGGTGTGTCTGCCTTGGGATCGAGGGGTTTTCTCCTAAGAAACTGCTTCCACCGTAAGTTTGATAATAATTTTCCTTATATATTCAGGCGGCATCTGTCGTATCTGTTATTGATTGCTTGTTTTACATGGTTTAAATTGATCATTTTAAGAATTGGAACGTCTGATATCACATGTCTATGACTGCAGAGTATCAGTCATCGGGATGGATCAGTGGGTAACGTGCTTGCTATGTGGGCATGAGGACCTGAGGATGGGTCCCCAGTACCCACATAAAAAGCTTAACATGGTGAGTACTGGAGGGTGGGGCCAGGCTAGTCACAGGGGCCAGCTGGCCAGCCAGTCAGTGAGCTCCAGGTTCAGTGGGGTACTCTGACTTGAATCAATTGTGGAAGATACCTGACATCAACCTCTGGCCTCGCAAGCACACACATGGGTAAGCACACTTGCTCATACACATGCACGTACGTACACTTACACACACATGCACACACAAACCATATAAAAATACATATAGTAGTATCAGTCAGTAATATGATAAAGTATTTATACAGGATGTTTTAAGCAACAAAAAAACCCAGCCTCTCCTGTAGAGAAGAAAGCTGCTTACTGTCAGAGGGAATAGGAAATAATCACTGAAGGACACTTCATGTTCAGTTAACAAACAGTGGTTCTCAAATCAGGAACATTGGTGTAAAGAAAGAGTGTGTCACATTCTCTTTGAGGGCAAAAATGTTTCTCCTCTGTTGCTTTCCAACATTTTTATTGTGATACCAGACTAATTCTACGGCACTTTTTTAAAAGAAAAGGGCAGACCAGCAAGGGCAGCATTTATGAGTCTCCCCTTACTGGTAAAATGTTCCAGTACTGGCCAAACAACACAGTCCAAGGTGGTAGTCCTAATAACCAATTAACTAGGTGACATCATGACTGGATCTTTTACCTCCAAACATTTCAACACTACACAGCAAGTGCTGTAAATTGCCCTTTAGTTATGAAAGACTATAACCTCATTTGTGGAAATATTTGTCATTAATGATCCATTTCCTTACACAATTAAAAATGCTATTTCAGGAAGTCAGAGCATTCGGATGAAATTAACTAGGTGCTAAATATTTCAGTTTCAAATTACCCAAGAAATTGCTATCACCCTCCAAAATTCAGATGCATAAACATCTCTACTGCTGATAGTAATGCCATTAAATTTCAAGAACTTATGAATAAGGTCTATAAATATTTTCAG